CCAGCGATCGAGTCGTCACCTCATCAAAATGTCTTTTATAAAAAGCCAGATAATTCATGCTCTGTTACTGAAATAGTACAAATTAAAGGCTAAATATAATGTATTTGCAGAAGAAGCCTGGTTACCATTTTTTAGCAATTATTTGCCCTTTTACTTTGTACAATCCGTGAATTTTATATGAATCATAAATGCGTATTCACATTTTTATCATCTTGGGGGCATCAACTTTTATATATAGGGCACACCAAGTGTTACAGCAGGAGTATAATTAAAAATTAGTTTATTTCTTGATCTTTAAGAACGAAAGCAGTGATTTCTGTCATTAAGGTTGACTCTAAATGGAACATCTTTTTAGTACTGAGCAAACGATGGTCCGTGTTGATAGGTGATTAAAGTCACCATCCATCCGGTGTAATCTTTCCGAACGTGATCCCTAGATCTACTGAATACTTGTATATGTTGCCATTTTTCCGTCTTAACGTACTTCCTCCGCAGACCATGGCAGAAGGTTCGCCCCTAATTATATTTCACTGATCTACTGACTATAAATGGATCACGGTAAAAGTATTTTAAGTAGCGCACCATATATACCTCTGGTCCCAGCATTTTCGTCTATGGAAACTTTGGGTATAGGGGTTTTGTGAGTGGGGAATAAGGATAAGCAGTGGAATATGCTTTACTAACTGCTAGATGCACTTTAATTTTTGTTGTATTTACAAATGTTGTTTAGCTATATCTGTGAATTTACCTAATCTGTACTATCGTTTACCATATTTCGGAAAAACCCGATTATTAAAATGCACATTTCTTGAATTTGCTGAAAAAATGGTGTTTAGGAGGTCGTCTACTTCAACTTACCTGAGATTCAGCTTACTGTTCTCGAAATAATTTAGTATAGTCCGCGGCGCGATGCGCCGCGCACACCTTCAGATTTCATGCAAACAACTAACACCTGGCGACCGCGGGAAAGCTATTGAACAATATTTTTTCCACTTTACCCTGCTACAAATTTCCTTCACTGTGTATCCTACTTTCTCACCCACAAAACTCCTATAATTACCGTTTTCGTAAGAAACAAATCCTGGGACAGGCGGTATATAAGGTGCACTACTTAAACTACCTTTGTCCGGAGTAAACTGATATCAATTTTCCTTTTACTCTAACTGTTTCGCTGCTGATAATCAGTTGCTGTGCAACCGCTGAATATTTAACATGACTTA